CAGTCAGATGGTGAACGTGCAGTTTCAGCCCTGAGCAGAGGGAGCCTCAGTACTTTCCCCACCCACCAAGGCCACCCTGCCCGGACCCTCACAGTCTGTTCTCCCCTTTCAGGAATTCTCTTTGCTTTTCCAGTAATTTTCTGGAGGAATGAGAATGTTCTGTCTTTTCTAATATCTGGGCATAAAGAGCAGGAATAAACAGTCTGCTCCAGGTTGGGGAAAAGAAGGCACCCAACAGTAGCCGCCAGCTAAGAACTCCTTCTGTCTTTCTGGAAACCCCCGTTTCCTAGACGCTGACAGTTTCAGGCTGTGCTGTGTCATAACGTCTCCCTCCGGTTCACACATCACCACCACCGACCATTTGCCTGTATTAAGTGCATTTGGGGGGCAGGCAGTTTTCTCAGCGTTGAGAGGTTGTTTGTTTGTTTGTCTAAGACCAGTTGAAACTTATTGCCTGAAACATCTAGGTGCTTAAAAATGTAACCTTTTCAAGAATAGTTCTGGATCTCTAAACTAAGAGGACGTGATAGAGGTCTGCCCCAGACCTCCCAAATCAGAACCTGCATTCTGGCAAGATCCCAGGTGACTCAGATACACACTAAAGATCAAGAAGCCCTGGTTAAGGCTACAGCTAGCTTCCGATTATACACACAACTAGGGGAAAGCGTAACAAATACACACCTCTCAAAGGTCCTGCCCCTGCTCCTGCTCCCACCGAATCAGGTATACTAACATGTAGCAAATAGGCTGCTCAAAATTTCCAGCTTCATTATTAAGCTCTTCTAAGAACTAAGAAGAAAGATTGGATCTGCTTTTGATTTCCCTCTTTCAGGGTTGGGGCAGGTAACCTTCGTAACATTTGCAACAAGCTCTCTATCAGTATTTTGAGTGACCCGAAACGAAGGCAGGTCTGAGTGACCAGCTGAGGGGATGAGTTGGTTGGTTAAATAAAGAGGCTATATTTGTTTTCCGTCTGTATAAACAATCAAAATCATAGCATTGCACTATTTGCAAAAATAATTTTCTAATGAACAAGTAGACTCCTTCATCTTTGAGCAACAACCCATTTATCTATTTTTATGGCAAATTATCTGTCTCAAAAAAATGTCCCCATGTTGGCCACACATGTGCTGAGGGCAACAGCCTCGTGCAGGAAAAGCTGTGGCAAGGTCTCTTTTAGAAAGAGAGAATCTTTCCCAAGGAGAGCAGAGAGACAGTGTGACTGTATTAAATTAGGCTATTACTCTTTAAGGAGAAATGGTCTGTTCCTTTTGTTAACAAGAATTGAAAACAGAATCCAGCCCTGGGAAACATAGCTTGTAACCGATTTGGAATTCCTTCACATGTTAGGTTGGAAGCAGATGTAGTAACGCCGGAGAAATGCAATTGCAGGGAAAGACTGCCCTGTTTATTGTCTGTCTCAAGCGAGGAGGCATTCACATGCAGACACAAGTCTGGCCACAGCACGACCTGCCAAGCCCATGGCCACATGCTTGTCCCTTGTTCTCTAAGGAACATGTCAAAGGAGAAGCTGGCTGCCTGAGTCAGCCCTTTCCAGGACAACAGTCAAGTCAGCTGTCCCATCTCTGCAGAGAACAGGAACATAAATTCATCCATCTTGCTTTCTTGTCTCTAACTTACCTTCGCCCAAAATAACCTGTGGACTAGATTTCACTGTGTCTTTGTATCATCTCTATTATTTATGTAACATCTTTCTTTAAATCACCTTTCCTTTAAAAAAAAAAGTGTGTGATATCTTTGCTTTAGAACGAAATACTTCTAACCACAGTAGAAAAACAGAACTAGCATGCTTTGCAATGGACAGAAACTTTTAAAGTAAATATAATAGAAACAGTAATTGAATAGAATTGCTTCCTTAAAGCTATGCGTCTGAGGTTTCCTCCTTTTTTCTTAAAATCCTTAGTAAGTATCAGCAAATGTTAAGGGAAATTCAACATTAAACAGATACTGTCTCCTTCACTAATCTTAAAGATCAGAAGAGAATGGAGAAGGAACTAATCAAGGCAGTGTGGTTCTGGTGTAAGGATATACATACTGGGATAGAACTGAGAATTGAGGAATCTTCAAATACATGGTCAGTTCGTTTTTGACAAGTACTAGAACAGTTCAATAGGAAAAGAATAGTCTTTTTAGCAAACTGTGTTGGGACAACTGGAAATCCACATGGCCAAGAATAAAGATGGACCTCTTCCTTCCAACCTATGCAGAAATAAACTCGAAATGGATCAGAGACCTAAATGAAAGAGCTCGAACTATAAAACTCTTAGAAGAAAATAAAGGAGTAAATATTTTTGACTCTGGATTAGGCATTGGTTTCTTAGATATGACACCAAATGTACAAGCAGCAAAAGAAAAACAGATACATTGGACCTCATCAAAATTAAAAACTTTTGTGCTGTAAACATTGCCGTCAAGAAATTGAAAAGACAACCAAGGGAATGAGAGAAAATAACAGCAAGTAATATATCTGTTAAAGGACCTATATCCAGACTATATAAAGAAAACCTACAATTTAATGATAAGATAAATAATCTGATTTTAAAATGAACAGCTATATATCAAAGGACATAATCAACATAGTGACAGCCAATGGAATAGGAGGAATATTTGCAAATCATATTGTGATAAGGGATTAATATCCAGAATATGTAAAGAACTACCACAATTCAACATCAGCAACAATTTTAAAATGAACTAGAGACTTGAATAGATGTTTCTCCTAAGAAGATGTAGAAATGGCTGTCAAGCATATGAAAAGATGCTCAACATCACTAATGACTAGAGAAATCCAAATCAAAAACCATAATGATTTTTCCTCATTGTAATAACAGAGACAGCCAATAAATCTACCATTTGATTTAGACGGGGAAGAAAAAACACGAGATACCACCTCACACCCATTATGGTGGCTGCTATAAAAGCAAAAACCAGAAAATCTGTTGGCAAAGATGCAGAGAAATTAAAACCCTTTTTATACTATGGGAATGTTAAATGGTATAGCTGCTGTGGAAAATAGTATGATAGTTTCTCAAAAAAATTAAAGCAGATCCAGTTCTCAGTATATACTCAAAAGAACAAGCAGTCAAAGAGATATTTGTATCCTCATGTGCATTGCAGCATTGTACAGTAGTCAAAAGGTGGAAACAACCCGAGTTGACAGATGAATGGATAAACAACATGTGGCATATACATACGATGAAATACTATTCAGCCTTAAAAAGAAGTGAAATCCTTACATAAGCTACAACATGGATGAACCTTGAGGACACTATGTCAAGTGAATAAACCAGATACAAAAGGACAAATACTGTATAATTCCACTTATATGGTATATCTGGAATAGCCACATTTCAAGAGAAAAAAATAGAATGGTGGAATGGGGAGTTGTTTAGTGGATATAGAGTTTCAGTTTTGCAAGATGAATGAGTTATGTGGACTGGTTGCATAACAATGTTAATGTACAACACTACTGAATTTTGCACTTAAAAATGGTTAAGATTGGGGGGAGGGTATAGCTCAGTGGTAAGAGTGTGTGCTTAGGATGCACAAGGTCCTGGGTTCAGTCCCTGGTACCTCCATTAAATAAGTAAACCTAATTACCTCCCCCTTAAAAAAAAGTTTAAAAAAAATTTTTTAATGGTTAATATGGTAGATTTTGTTATGTGTATTTTACTACAATTAAAAATAAAAACATCAGAAACAGTATTTGTTCAATAAACATTCACTATGTAAACATGGTAGCCTGTGTGAATTGATTTCTTTTTATGTGTGTTGCTTTCTATATAAAGCTCCTGTTGGAACACCAGGATGCCATTGCACCTGAAAAGAATGACTTACTGAATGAACTGTTGGAATTGCTGGGAGAGGTACCTAATGTGGAGTCTTTTCTTGGTAAGGGCTTCTTCCTTCTGCTTACCCTCTGGTTTGTATTTGGTTGGTTGCTTGCTTGACTGCTGGGTTGGTTTTCCTATCCTAGAGCAAAAAAAATTTCTTTATTTTAATACTTAGGCTTATTTAAAGGCTAATAACTACACTAGCCTCTTCCTACAGGAAAGATTCTGTAATTCTTAGTTTCGTGGATTATACAACAATTTGATATTCTTGAAGCTCTTGATAGATCATAAAGGATTCGTCAATCATAAAGAAAGAAAAAGAGCAAAATTTATTAGAAGTTCCTTGCTATGTTCTCCAAAGTTTTCTTTTACTAGCATTTCTCTCTTTTAGTAATTTTTTCAAATTTTGAATACCTGTTCCCCATGTGATTTTCACATGTAAATCAAAGATTTTAAAACCACTTTAAGTATATTGGAATGTAGTGTCTTCTGAAGACCATGATCTCCTGTTCAACTGCTGAGCCTGTATTTCCTTCAGAA